CACCTCCTTTTCCCAGAGGTTCATCCCCCCCAGTTTTGTTCAATAAACCCAGTTTCTATTTTTGAACATATGTGTCTTTTATCTGACATCAGGAAGGCGGGTTAGGGAGGGGTAAGTGGAAGGACGTGAGGGAGAAATGGGGCATGAGCCCCCAGTCGGGAGGACTGGGGTGGCTCTGAGGGCTCCTTGGGGTGGACACTCTCCTGTAGGGCCTCCTGGATCCTGACAGCCCCCGATGAACCCCCTGGATGGCAGCCTGCAGCAAGTACAGCCGGGCTGATGGCAACAACCCCACGAGACACACCGGCATGCCCAGGGACAGCTCTGGCTCCATGTGGCCGAGTGCTGTGGTGTCCCGAGTGCAGGCACTCAGGGCGCTCCAGGACAGGACTGCTTTGCTGTCCCTCATTAAGATAGACAAGCAAGTGGGGAACCCTGAGAACTGTCTGTCCAGGGTGGGGGTAGGGTCCCTTTAAGCACGGAGCTCAGTTAGCCTCAGGCAGCAGCTCTACACACTAAGTCCTAACCTGATGCCCTGCCGGCACTGGTTCCGGCCAGCCTTAACTTCGGTTCAGGATCCACTCAGTGTGGATGCACTATTTCGAAATAGCAAAATGCTTTTTCAAAATAGTTTTTGTGTATAGCTGTGTTATTTCGAATTAGCTTAATTCGAATAAACTATTTCGAATTAAGTTAATTCGAAATAGCACTGTAGTGTAGACATACTCAAAGAAACTTGCCAATAGTACAGTGAATGCACTGCTGAAATTCTGAAAAACTAATCAGCAAAATCACAAACAGGACAGGACATATGAACAACTTTATGTTATAACAATATCTTTTTAGATGCTAGTATTCAAATGTCATGCTTCAGTTACAAGATTATTACAAAGGTCAGGAAAGAACTTTTCTTACCCATAATATATAATTTTTCATGATTAGGTAGGTGCAGTCTAGAGCCACCAATTACCATCACCACCATCTTTTTCTGAAACTTAAGTTTCTGGTCACTAGCATAGATTAGTCTAGTCTTGATAAATCTATATTCTTGCGTTACTACAGTTTGTACCTCCCTGGTCCAGCAACCTTAGGGTGCTGAAGCAGGGAAGACTAGTCCTGAAGCAGGGAATTTGCATACCAGGGGAGTTAAATGCGGTGGGGGCTCCGCTTTTCCCCAGACAGCTGCAATGCCACCCAGGGCTCTGCTCTCCACACATCATGGGGAAAGTGGGCAGTAGATCTCCCTCCCTCTACCCTAGCAGCTCTGCTGCAGCCTAGAGTTCCACTCTCCCCACAGTGGCCAAGGACTCCACTGCCACCTGAAGATCCACTCTCTCCATAGTATCTTCAATGCTGCCTGGGGCCCTGTGCTCCCATGGCGGCACTGTGCTCCCTAGTGGCACTGCGGCTGTCTGGGGCTTAGTTGCTGCCGAGCATCTCTGTACTGCCCCCTAGCACTCTGCTGCCACCTGGGGCTTTGCACTGCACCAAGAAGCTTTGCTGCTGCCTGGAGGGCTCCATACTCCACTGAGTGGCTCTGCTGCCACTTGGGGGGGCTCCGTGCTCCTCCTGGCTGCTCTGTGCTCCCCTCCCCAGCACCTCCACCAAGGCATGGGGGGCTCTGTGCTCCCCTCCAGCAGCGTGCTGTTGCCCTCCACACAGTGACAGAGAGCTCCACTCTCCCTCTCCAACAGAGACTGGGGGCTCTGCATTCCTTCCGGTGACTCTGCTGCCCCCAGGACTCCTTCTCAGCCCTCTAGCTTGGCAATGCTCCTGGCCCTAGCATGCAGCTTATCCCTGTGAGTGCTTGCATGGATGGGTGTTAACAGACAAGGGAAGTCCAGATTAGGGAGTTTCAACCTGTATAACTCATGCAGAAAAGGTAACTGATACTAAGTAATGTTCAATCTACAGTCTAAATCCAGACAGGTAAAAATATGAATACATAATCTCTCTCTCTCTCTCTCTCTCTCTCTCTCTCTCTCTCTCTTTATTTATTTATTTATTTATTTATTTATTTATTTTAGAGTGCATCTGTCTGTTCATCAGTTTGTTCAAAAACTCTGCCTAAACTGTAGAAGCTAGCAAAACATGTAGATAGTATACATGGACCACTTTGGAGTCTGTGTTAGTAACCCCTTTAATGTGGTCACCCCATCACCATTATCATCCTTTTTATACTTGAGGCACCGTCCGCACCGAAAAACAATCAATTTCGCCCGCATTACAGCTTCCCCTTGAACAACACCCGACAGCAGACGGTGGGGTAGGGGGACCCGGGCCCACCCAATCTCCCAGGTCCTGGCCCAGGGCTCTGAGTCAGGGATGACTCCTCCCTGGCCTGGCTGACTGGGGAGTTGCCCCTAAACACATAAGCCCACGGGCTCCACGACCCCGCCCTGGGCCACTTCCTACCTCTGCGTCCAGGTCCTTTCTCTTCCCTTTGTTAGGGTGAGGGACGCCCTTTTTCACCCCAAAAGTGAAGGTCACGCCTTTCCTGGCGAATTCTTGCCTGTCCAGCCCACTGACGAATCTCGGACTTTCCTCCTCCCTTTCCCCCGGCAAGACCCAGGGCCTTTTTCTCACCCTCCATGGCGAGCCCAGTGCACTTATGACGTCCCTGCTAAGCCAATGGGTGACGTCATCAACCGGTGCCCATCGCCCTGGCGCATCTCGCCTCTTCTGCACCTGCGCTGGCAATCTGCTTGACCCTGGCCG